GTGTGTGTGTGTGTGTGTGTGTGTGTGTGTGTGTGTGCCAACCTGTTAACTAGGAAGTAGTTGAGTATCAGACACAGCACAGAAGGAACCGTGGAAGCAATGACCAGATAACTTTCAAAGTAGTCCTGTGAACAGAAGAGTTTCTTTGAACACAACAGCACACACCCATACATTTAAATATCTTATCAAACCAAGTAAGAGAAACTGAGAGGAGGGGAAGAACACATTTATATAACATTTATTTCTTATATTTGTAGTTTCACTCATATAAAATCTAAAATGGGCTCAAAGTAATTTTATTGTTCTTTACAGAAAAGAAATTTGGCTGTTGTATGCTCAACTATTACTATTACTATAATTATTGTGTGTCATCAAGAATGTATGGCTGCATCCCATCAGAAGTGGCAGCTAATAGTAGCTGCATTGTACAGATCAACTGAGGTGTGAAGACATTTAAATCCATCACTTACTTCCTGTAGCTGTTTTCTTTCTGTGACAGATATTGTTGTACTAACCATGACACACAAGTCCACTTTGATAGTTGATAGCTGTTGCATGAACTCACATAGTATCAAAGCAGATTAATAGTTACCTATTCTGTGTTTACTATCCTGACTAATAGCATTTAGAGGCAAGATATTTTTCTTTTACCCTTTTTGACTTTGACTAATCCCTCATTGACAAGCCTTTGGCATTTCTAAAAGTGTGACTCTGTTGGAATGGATGACAAATGTGAGAGGACACTCAGTCCTCATATCTGTCACATGATTCCTGTGTACACACTTGAACAATAAAAATACTTTGAGTTGAGTTTGGCGTCCCTGTCACTCACACTGAGTTGTGAACGTTGATCCTCACTGTTGCTGGGATTAGTGTTGTTACTCAATTTGTAGAGCCAGTAGTGTTTGGCTGTTATGAAGAAGTTCCAGGGCAGCAGGGAGCCGATACCCATCAGAAAGAAGATTATGTACACAAGACAATAAGAGTCTTCTGGACTGTAGCGCACAGCCAGAGGCACTGAGGAATGTTTGGGCAAGAGGGACGCAGAGGCATTCTGATCCTCGTTCTCCTCGTCCTCAGAGATGTTGTGGCTGCCGAGAGCAGTCGGAACATAGGAGGAGTTAAGACTGGGCTGCACCGGCTCTGTGACGTCCATTTTGATGGAAAGAAGGATACAGAAGCCTCAGAAAGTAAAGATGAGAGAGAACAGGGAAGGTTGAGGTAGTGAAAAGAACAGGAGACAAGACAGGAGGTGTTAAACAGAGACCTGCGAAAGAGAAGAAGTTAAAAAAATAAATCACTGCAACATTGTAATACTACTGCATATGACTGTGTGGTAAACAAAGTTAATACATTGTTATCAATAGCAATATAACAAAGGTCAAATATATATATCAATATAGCATTTAAGCATCGTGTATGGACAGGGAGGATGTACAACACATAATTGATCGATCTCAGATTTAAAAAATACTTTGCTGTTTATCAAGCATTTTTCATTCTCTGCTCATAGAGAAGAGTTTAAAACCACAACCTTCAATCAGGAGCAAAAGTGGGAAAAGGATGGGCATGTGACATGATAATTCTCGATATTGCCTCAAATTCTTATTTTTGATCTTGTAATAACCTTTGGCCATTTCGCTGAGCACTACTTTTGCAAAACACAGGGTTTGGATTATTCTTACATTTACTTGTGCTTGTCCAGAACAGACTGTCCACGAGAAACTGTCCTTATTATAGGATGATGTTTGTTGGGTTTACTTTTTCTATATTGAACTTTGTGTGGTTTTTGATTCGATCTAAATACAGATCTTAGGTTTGATTTGTGAGATATGCACAAATCTAATGGTTAAAATTGGTTAAAAAAAAATCTTAGTGAGAAATGTCTCAGGGATTTTCTTTTGATATTGTTTTGTTTGTCTTTTATTAATCTGAAAAGGTATATAACTTGTTTTTTA